TCATCTTTAATGTGTTCTTGTTACAATTTATTAATTCATGTTAAAAAGTGTGTCGAAGTCGACGGAGGAAAATTTTGTAAACATCTTTTAAGGTATTAAATAGAAAATAAACAAACATTAAACGACATTTACTACGATTCATGTTTTTTTATTTCAATATTCCGTAACTCCGAAATCACTCGGAATCGAACATATTTACTAAATATTTTCAACTTATTTTCAGGTGCTAAAACCGCGTTTTGGCACTATATGCAAAGACATTCTGTAAATATTGAATAATACTTAAACATTAATAAAAAAAATAGGTAATTTTTGGATTAAATCAGATATACATATAATAAAATATATTGAAAATTAAATTTAAATTTTATGTAAGTATAATTATTTCTATCCAAATTGTGGAAAACGATTTTTTCAAGCCGATTGGATAGTTTAACTAATCGGCCAGATAACTAGATTATAAAACCGGCCAGATACATCGGATACAATAGTTTATATTATTAAATTTATCTTACAATTCTTTTTGATGAAAGTTTTGAAAACCATATAGCTCTATTTTAGAAAAATCTTGAAAACTCGAAGATAATAAAAGTTTGAGAAAATAATTTTTCTTCCTTTATACATTAAATAATTTTCATTTCTGTAATTTTTATATATATTTAAATGTAACAAAAATATTCTAATATTTTGAGTCATATAACCACCCTGTATAAAATTACAATTATAACAACTATCAATACTACAGGGTGGTCCAAAAGTCCGTTAACATTTGAATCGGCAGCTGCGTCGAGCAGCGAGGGAGAGGTGGGGCGGGCGAGGTACGGAATGTTAGAGCGGTCGATGGGAATTTAGTGCCATGGCGTCATTCAACGAGAAACAACGTGCGTTCTGCGTACGCGAGTACTATCGAAACAACGATTCTTCTACTGTAGCGCAACGAAAATTTTGCGCTCATTACAATATACGGCATAAAAATAAAGCTCCATCGATTCAGTCGATTAAAAAATGGGTCCAGAAATTTGAAGAAACTGGTTCAACAATAGATAAAAGGCAAGGATTTACATTTGCATCCGTACAAAATCCCCCAACAACACAAAAAACATTTCCCGAAACACTTGTCAGTCGGTCATTGAAGATTTCTGCTCTAGGTTGCAGCAGTGTCAAAATAATGAAGGATCGCATATGGACGATGTTATTTTTAAGAAATAAAATCCCAAATTGTGTACTTTCAGAATAAATAAACATTTTTTCTTACATATAACTAGTTTCTTTTTTATCATCGTATGACATGTTAACGGACTTTTGGACCACCCTGTATATACTTTTATTTAATAGCAGTAAATAACTCCGTTCCACACAGCTTAATTTAATGTATTTTAATGTATTTTAATGTACATTAAATGCGCGTGCGTGCGTGCGTGCGTGCGTGCGTGCGTGCGTGCGTGCGTGCGTGCGTGCGTACATGTATTATTAATTATACGCTATAATTTTTTTTTGTCAGACTAATAATTATATATAGGGCGTCCCATTTTAACATTGACACCGAAATATCGAAAAAAATTAAAAAAAATACGAAAAAATTTTTCCGACAAAAATTATGGAATTTAAAGATTTATTTACTGATAATATCCATTTGACATTGGGTGGCGTTGCTAAGGTGGCGTTCTCAGGATTAGATAAACATATCTCTGACGAATATATCTCTTAACTTATCATATAAATCTCGATAACTTCAAAACAACTGACCCAAAGTGATTTGAAATATAATGTTTGGGAAAGGTCTCAGAAAGAATTATAATAATATGTAATAAAACTAAAAATAAAAATAAGTTTTATTTAAAAAATTTAAAATCATCTCGTCCTGACTTTTGAAAACTTTACAACCTTTGTCTGAAACATTTTTCCGTATCTTTTATAATTTCCGAAATATTTCGATGTCAAAATTAAAACCACATGTATAATTTTGCAGTATCTATAAACGGTTTGATTATTAAAACAGTTTTTTGCAGGATTTTGTGTATTGAAATATACAAAAAGTATAATAATGTGTGCACATAACATATCATACTGCTTTAATATTTAGTTCTAAGAGCAAAAGAAGACTATTTTTATTTAATACTCCATGATTTGAGAAAAAAACTTATCAATTCATAGCAAATGACAAAGCTATATAAAAAGCTTATATAATACCTTCTTAATGATTTAGAAATTTCTTCCTTTTCTAATTATTTTTTGTTGTAAAATTTTTTAACTTTTTGTTTCATATTTTAAAATTACCAAATAATTTTGTAAAATTTGCAATAATAATAAAAAATTATAATAAATATATATTTTGACATCGCTGATATGAAATAAATGTAATGAAAATATCTTCCTAATTTTTGTACTTTCTTTTCTTGCAAGTATGTATGAATCTTTTAATGTGCTGTGATGAAACAAAAATTGTTTTATGTACCTGTATATCAGGTATACTGGCAGCTTCTTCGGAAAAGTGTCGTCTGTCCGGCTTAGGGCTGTGTTGATGTGGCAACTTAAAAGAGAATTTCCTACGCCTTGAAGGACTGACAGGAGTACGGGGAGATTCCGGAGGATGTTCAAGATCTGTCATAGAACGTGCTGTCAGTTCTTGTGCCATAGCAATAGCTGAGTAGAGAGTTTTCTGATCGGCAGCTGAGATAGGCTTCACCTAGACAAGACAAACATTTATCGTAAATTAACATTTCAATGTGATGATTCTCTCTTTTATTACATTTTCTTACAAATATTAACTGTATAACACACGTTTATTATATTGTTATGCTCGTGTGGCGACACCCGTGATGTGTAGTAATATAAAGATCGCGTCTCTCGGCAACAAGCTGCTCAGCTGTCAAACGAGCTCGTCAGATTAAGGGCCATCAAACTCCCCTCTTGTTCCGAGCGTTACCAGCATTTGCCAGCATTTGGCGCCACAAATGGTGGTAACGGAAAAACCATGGCAGTTTGGTGGCCCTGATCAGATTGGATGATGGAACCGTCGCCATGCTCGAACGTGCTTTTCTGCCTGACCTACTATTTTATCGTATTTGCTGTATTATGCGTTGGTGTTGCCTGTGATGTTAGAATAAAAAGTTTCCTTTTCTATTTTTAATCTTGAGTCCATTTATTTCCGCGGTTTGAGCGTACGCGAGTGCGATTCTGCAAATCGCATGGGCGCAACATTTTGGAGGATCGTCCGTGTGAATAGTGCTAATGAGTAAATCAGACAGTCGAGCGAGTATGTACTTTCCAAAAGATGCCTTATTCACTGCGGCACACACTGTGTATGAGAAGACTCGTCGTCTCAGAGGAGGATCCTTCGACGACGACATGCGCTGTGGATAAATCTTTTACGATAGCAGGCTATCGCCTTGCAAGCGGTGCTGCAGAAGGTGCTGCAAGTGCGGAGGGAGTAGCGACAAAAACAAGAGAAATTCGCGGCATCGTTGTGACAACGAAACGTGGAAATCGCACAGCATCAACGAAGACATGAATTTGTGGCAACATTACGGCGGCGGAACGCGGAGATTCTACAGCTACGGGAGAAATTGCGTGAGATCTTTATGACTCAAACACAGCTAAGTCCCTCCAATAACATTACTAATCGAAATAACCTATATCCACCTGTAACAAAAATGCTTTCGCTGCAAGTGTTGTCGATCATGCTGCTTCTGTCACGAGTGCTACAAATCGTGTTGATTCGATCGCGTTTAATGGTATCGAATGTGTCGGTTCCGCCGAGAATGTTGCCAACCGTTTCGAATCTGTCTCGAGAACGTCAAACCTTATTAATTCTGCTACGAGTATGGCCAATATGTTCGATTTAACCTCATTAAATTCGGTCGGGAATGTCACTAATCTTTTTACGAGTATAAAATTAAAACCGGATACATTTGACGGGAGCACACCTTTGCAGGAATGCTTTGCACAATTTGACTTAATTGCTTACGCGAATCGTTGGGAGGGAAGAATGAAAACCGCTGTTCTAATATTATGTGTGAGAGGAAAAGTGCGCGGTATTAAAAAGCGTACAGAATCTAAAGAATTTGAATTTTGCAAAATTGATAATTAGAATTATGTTTTGGAGAAGCTCAATCGCTACAAAATTATTACACTCAATTTGCAAACAGAAAACAAAAATTCGGAGAAAATGTAGCTTCTTTCAGCTCGGATATTGAAAGGCTGGCATAATCAAGTAGCGCGGTAGCGTCGCACGCCAAGTGCGTAAAATATAAAACGGGTCGCTTGATGGATCGTTTGACCGCTTGATGTGTGAATGTCATTGCGTACATGTTCGTACCGTTGCCAAATTCGCGATGCTAGCTTTATCTGGAGTTTTGACATCAACGAATTTTAGATTAAAATTACTCAGAAACTAAAACCGCAATTAAAAATCTAAAAACATTATTATTATATTGTATAATGTCACTGATATCTTTCAATTGCAATCAGTCCAAATAAAATTGGTGCAGTCGATATCAAGAGCTGGAAATAGTGTCCCAAAAAGGGATTTCAACTTTTCAAATTTTTTCAAATTGTACTTGTGATACATACATATAAAGCGTTTTGTCTATTACTATAAGCTGCTCACAATGTCTTCATACAATTTTAATTTTTAATATAAAATTAAAATAAAATCAGCAACAAAAGTGAACCTTAATGTGCATACAGGTGTAAACGTACATGAAACAGATAAACAGAGAGAGGGTGAGAGAGAGCGAGAAAGAGAGAGGGGGGAGGAAAAGAGAGGGAGAGAGAATAAGAAGGAGAGTGAGAGGGAGAGAGGGAGAGAGGGGAGGGAGAGAAGCAGCATTTATTATACGCTCTGGAACAAATCCTCTCAAGCGCTCAGATCAGTACAAAATAAAATCAATTGAGTATACATCAAAAAACATCTCAATACTAAAGAAACAATATCTAAAAACTATATAAGTAAAATATGATACAAGCATATTCTATAAAAATAAAAGTTTGCGTGAGTAAAAAGTACACATGCAGAAAAATTGAGATATCTCATTGACATTCATAATATTAAAACACAGATAAACATGCAGAAAGATGAGACATCCTAAGGAATACGCATTTTTATCAAAAAGCCAAGTACATATAAGCAAATATTACTATGACTTAATGAGCAGATGCGCATAAAGTTTCTGCCTAAAAATATAAATCGAGCTCAAAAAACGTATATTCTGTGGGAAATTATTCCACAGATTGGCTGCAGTAGAACAAAAAGAAATTTTCGTTCTACTTTTATAAAATTATATGCAACACTGCAGCAGTACCAGCAAATCATCAGGCGATCTGGTTTGTCTGCACAATACCTCGGTACAGAACGCAAAATTGGAGAGAAGTGACCGAGACCGTCCAGTCTTAAGAATACTGAACAACAGACAAAATATTACCTTCTAGCGTTACCTGCAACCAGCGTGCACGCACATAATAAGATGTGATATGGTCATCCCATCTCACCCCATAGACGAACCTAAGGCATGCCCTTATGGCCCTTCTTAGTTTGACATCCTGTTCCATCATCATATCTGTGAAGGCAGCGCAACAATAGTTCAAATGTGGGAGGACTACAGCAACAACAAGTCGAATTCTGAAAGACTCCGGCAATAAGTGTCTACACAGTTTAAGCTGATACAGCACCGCTCTTATTTTCTTCATCACATTATTGACCTGTTTGTCCCACGACAAGCTGCTGGATATCACAATCCCAAGGTATTTAACTTTCATCACGAATCGAACAAAACTCCGCAACCATGATTCCCGGCAGTGCGTCAAAATCGATAGAATTGATGTAATGTGCAACCAACAATGATTGTGCTTGCGTTTTAGTCTCGTTTAACCGTCCGGTCAATGACCAGGTACCCGGGTATCCATTTCAGCTTCGCAGATAGAATTTATTAACTTTTTCTTTAAAAAATTGTATAACCGTCTGGATCCCCGAAATTTAAGTAGTTTGAAACCCAA